AATCTGCCATTTTCCCTGGGAATGTACGTAAGTAAGCAACATCTTTATGGAATATACATTTAAGACTCAAATATATCTCCTGCATATATCTTAGGCAGTTGTTAGGGTATACAAACTCCGATTGGCTTGTTGCTTCCACTTTTTGTTTCCACTTTATATTTTTTTGGAATTTCCCACCTTGCCGCAAATATGTTTCTGTCAACACGTCAGTACCCGAATGCTTGTTGTTTCCGACTTCTGTTCTTTTCCAGTTGGAATGGGATGGGCTGGAGTTCTGTTGGTTCGTCTTATTTTTTCATTTTTCGCATTGCATCTTTATCGCGCTGTCTGTCTGTCGTGGGTGTCGTTTCTGTTTTCCTCACGCTTCATTACAATACGAGAAAATCCGGTTAGAGGTGTCTGGAGGTCGCCTCCGTTCTTCTCCGGCCGGGATCCGCCTGCGGGTATGGGTAATTTTAATGCTCTATCAGGCGGAGTCGACTCCATTTGTACCGGGAATCTCGAGCGACTTGAGCAGCTGTTGCAGTTGCACTTGCACTTGCCGGGAGGCAGACAAGTTGATTCACTTTTAAACGACTCCATTTGCGGCAATCCCAGCCAGACATCGCGCGTTGATTTGTTGACATTTTCTCAAGAGGAAAAGAGCTTAGGAAATTTTTGAAAAACTGCTTCAATATATGTAACGGCTTTACGATCTTTTTACCGCCCTAACCAACACTTTTCTGATAGTGTAGTATTTTTATGGGCGAGCTTTTGTCTTATCAGCGCGGGTAATCTTATCAGTCCAAGGGGAAGCCGAAGCAGTCAGTCGGTCCCCATAGCCAGCAGGTGAGTAATTTTCTATCCTCTGCCAGTATTAGACGCGACATTGCGCGCAGGTCGCTTCGCAAATCGAAGAATCGAAGAATTCATTAAAAATTCCCCACTAATCCGAGGGCAAAGTGTACAATGCTGAGGGCGTGGCTGGCACGGAATGGCAGTCAAATACTAGAATCGTTGAGCCACCATTAAAACTACTGCAGACTACTGCAAACTCCAGACCAAACTCTACTTTTCTTTTCGATTCGTTTATTATTCATTTGTGGTGCTCTAGTTTTGCGTCGCCGCTGCGAGGCCGATAAGATAACGGGAGTGGAGTGCACTGCGAAGAGGAAATAACCCCCAACAGAAATCCACAGGTGAATAAATCGTGAGAGTCCAAGCGAACAGTGACGTCACACAAACGCCTTACAAATCGTCGCAATTTCGTGCTGGAACGGAGACTGGAACAGTTTCCATACGAATATTGTCGCCTGATAAGAGTGCGATGGAAATGCATGCGCAATAAAAACAGAAACACATCGATGTACTCCTCTCTCTCTCACTCTTTTATAGGCATGGGGAGTAGCCTGGAGCTGCAGGTGGTCCTGCTGCTGCTGGCATCGGTGCTAGCCAGCACATTGGCCGTAAATTGTCCCTGGCCCTGTCGATGCACCTGGATTGTGGACAGTCTGTATGCGGACTGCTCGCGAAGGGGCCTGCACACGTACCCGGACTTTGACGGTGTGCCCGTGGAGCACTTGGATCTGTCGGGGAATCAGTTCAGCGAGTTCCCCACCCAATACGCGGACACGGACTCCCTGATCTACCTGGATCTGTCCAGCAACCAGATCTCCGCTCTCGGCGGCAAGGCTCTGATCGGTTTCACCTCCCTGCGAACTCTGCTGATGGCCAACAACTCCATCGCGCGATGGATAGATCTCAGCCCCAGTGAGGCCTTCAAGTACGCGCCCAGTCTGAAGCGGCTGAGCCTCAGCGGGAATCAGTTGGGCAGTTTCGGCAGCGAGGAGATGAACCAGCAGCTGAACAGCCAGTCGCTCACGGATCTGGAGATGTCCTCGTGTGGCATTTCGTCCCTAGGAGGCGACCAGCTGGTCAATCAAATACCCAATCTGGAACGCCTGACCCTGTCGAACAACAAACTGGTTCAGTTGGCGGCGCTGCCCTCGCGCAGCCTGAGGACGCTCGACCTGAGCAACTGCAGCATTCAGCGCCTGTCCAGCCCCTTCCTCGACTCCCTGCCCAACCTGGAGGCCCTAAACCTGTCAAGAAACACGGAACTGCAGTTCGGCAGCCTCGACGAAGACCTCATCTGGGCCTACGAACTGCGACGACTGGATGTCTCCTACTGCAACATCGATCAGATCGATCTCAGCGGTCTGCCGGTGCTCACAGAGGTGCGACTGCGCGGGAACCTTCTGCGCGTCGTGGATGCCGAGACTTTTGCCAACAACACCATGCTGGAGGTGCTCGATCTCTCGGAGAATGTGCTGCGCCTCATTGGGCAGGATGCCTTCAGCAACCTGCGCCGCTTGAAGGAGCTGAATTTGGCCTTCAATGAGATAGCCCGCCTCGACCGCAACTTTATACGCAACAACGATGTGCTCGTCGAGCTCAACCTCAGCCGGAATGTCCTGCAAAAGCTGACCAGGATCGTGTCCAACTCCGTGCGCACCATCAACATGAGCTGGTGCGAGATCACCTCCATTGAGAGCACCTCCCTGTCCAGTCTGTCGGCCATACTGAAGCTGGACCTGTCCAACAACTTGATCAGTGACATCCCAAGCAACATGAAATCGGAAACGTTGCAGCAGCTGAACCTGGCCAACTGCAGGTGAGCGCTATCTCTCCACGTTGATTATATTCAAGGTAATACCAGCTCGAATTCCGATCGTAGGCTCTCCACAGTGCGAAACAACACGTTCAGGGAGTTCCCTGAACTGGCAGATCTCCACCTGAATGGCAACCGCCTGACCAGTCCCATTCCGCCTTTATATTTCCGCGGCAACAAGTTCCTCGACCAGCTGTGGCTGGGCGACAATCCCTGGATTTGTGACTGCCACAATGAGCTGTTTGTGGAGTTTTACGACTTTCTGACCACCAAGCCAGCCAAGGTAGGTTCGAGTCACCACCATCTGTGGGATTGTGATTGTGATTGTGATTCTGATTGACTCTTTAGATCAGGGATAGGAATCACTTGCGCTGCGCCGCTCCTGCAATTTTCTATGGCAAGATGTGGGAGTATGCCTGCGCGGACGTGTGGATGGTAAATGCCAGAAGCAGCAACAGCAGCGGCGAGAAGGCCTGGGGCATCATCATGCTGACACTGCTCCTGCTCGGTGGCCTGGTTCTGGGCTATGCCTGCATGCAGAAGTTCTTAAAGAAGCGCAAGCGGAATCAGAATCACAGGGAATTCGCCGAGAATGACGACGAGCTGCGTCGCATGTAAGAACTGTCCCATGGGGAAGTGAATATCATGAAATATACACGACTGCTTATTGCCCCTTCCAGACGAGACCTCAACGACCGCATCCTTTTGGAGGATGGAACGCCCAGCGTGCAGCAGGCCCAGGAGATCAGTCTGCTGCCATCCTACGAAGACGCCCTACGCATGCCGAAGCTGGAGCGACCCGTCAAATCGATGGTGGATCTCTCGGGGCAGAACAGACCGCAGTCACGAAAACTTCGTCGCTCCCAGACCCACGCCGATGGCGATGCCTCCCAGTCCGAGGGCGAGGAGGGACTGCAGCTGGACACGCGCCAGAGATTCCGCAGCGTGGAGATGCTCTCCAACCGGGACAAGGAACGAACGGCCCAGTACGGTCCCCGCCGGCGCACCGGCTACATGGAGTACAACCAGTCGGGCAGCCGTCGCTTCAGCATCGAGGAATCGCGCTTCCCGGCGGCTCATCTGAAGACGCAGAATCTGCAGAGCGCTGAGCAGATTGGGAACTTCCAGAGCTACGAGAACAGTCCGTACACGAAGCGCAGGCCGAAGATTGCCGAGATCCCGCCGTTCAAGAGGATCAACATGATGGGCGCCAGCGTGGAGTTCCTCACCGATCCCGAGTACGACGATTTGGGCAGCAAGCCCGGCAGTCCCTTTGCCAAGCGGAGGCCCAAGCTGCCCACGCCACCCACCATGAAGGTCAGCGCCCAGGTGTACACCATGCAGCCAGAGCAACAGAATCCGGCCACAGCCCAGCTGGAGCCGGCGATCGAGGACTATTTCAGCCCCAGCCAGAAGGCCGCCTCCTCGTCCACCATCGCCAGCGACTTCCAGGAGCTGCTGGCGCCCGAGCTGACCTCCCTGCCCGATGACCATCGATCAAATGTGTCCACCTCGGATGCCGATCATGACCTGGAGCGCGGCAAGCGCAAGAAGCGAAAGAACTCGGCCAGCACTCGGCGCGTCTCTGGCAGCTTCTCCGCCGCCACGGCTGCCGAGAGCTCCTCCTCGGACTCGGAGCGCAACGTGCAAGTACACAAGCCAATGCGAGAGACTTTATTCTAGCCCTAGAGCACACACTCCATTCGTTAGTCATCCCCAGACCTGTTAGCATATCCATAAGACTATTTAAACGCACCGCGACACAACTACATACCAAAATATACTTACATGTGCACGTGCACATTATTAAGTTACATTGTTAATAAAAATACAAACAGTTCAGACTAAGTTCAAACTAATGGATACAAGCGCGGTGTATATATACAATGTTGAATTGAGTGAAAGCTTCAGCAGACTATAATCTGATTTATTTTGTGTCGGAGAAATCATTCGAATTTTAATTTTACGCGCGCGTGCTTACTGTTTACCAGCCCTGGTAGTACCTGTATGCAAAGCTCTCAAAAATAAGAGCGAGCTTTTGAATGAGATGAAAAATAAAGCTTCAAAGTCAACTGGAAGTTGTGCACGCCATCTGTTGGCCGTTGGTTATTAGAAACCTGTTCAGCGCCACTACGACAAAGCAGCGTAGCTACTCACGTTTCATGGCTGCGAGCCTTTGTCAGATATCAATATTATATTCATATCTGACAAGAGCCCACCGCCATACAGTGGCATAAGTGTCGCGGTTCTGGCGTGCAACTTACCAACGGAAATGGTCCCACATAAAATCCGTCATCACGTTTAAACATTTACGAATTTTAAAATTTTTCTATACTGAAAAGATCTCTAATTTGAATTGAAGAGTCGCTCACATTTAATGAATTAACACATTATAATTTCACAAGAGAATGAAGCTTAAGTATTTTACACAATATAGGGTTTGTTTTGTAGATATAAAAGTACAGTATATGGGTGTGTGTACATCACATGCTGATGCCGATGCCGATGCTGATGCAGGGGTGCGCCAGTCGAAAGCGTTTCGTTTCGAAGATGTTCTTTTTCCGTAGATCTGATCTCGCTTTTAGGTAGCAATTTACATTAAATATATATCGTTTAACTTTGGTATTAAACTAGATTTATGCTTAATTAATTAATTAATTAATTTACTTATGGCTAGCACTACTTCTTCTGGTTACATTTAAGAGGGGAGCGGGGCCTTAAATCGAATAGTTTTTCTGTTGTTGTCTGAAGCATAAGATGGTTGGTTAGTGGTGAAAGCACCGCTCCGTGCCACTGGCAGCTCGGTACGAGTCGAGTATCGGTGCCACTCCAGCTCCAGCTCGAGTCCGGCAGAAGGAAGTAAATCTGTGGTACGTAGTAGGGCTGTGTCGAGAGTCGATGGCTGGCTCTGGCTCTACGCGGAACCACCCACCCTCAGTGTCCCACACCGTTGCCGTTGCCGTTGACAGTAAGCTGCACCTGATGTGTGGGTACGACGGGTCGCACGGGGGTTGTGATGATGTCGCCGGCATTGGACTTGCTGCGAGTGACCAGCATGGGGGTCTTGGGCTTGGGCGTCTCCGTCAGCTTGATCTTCACGCGACCCGTTTCGGGCGAGTAGACGGGCGAGTAGCGGCCCGATTTGGGTGACGACGGCAGGTAGGCGCTGTCCGGCTCGTTGTTGTTCTGCTCATCGGGGGATCCGCTGCTGCCCTGCGGATGCTGGGCGTACTTGGAGGCGCGCGGTGACTGGGGCGTGGGGTAGCGGGGTGTGATGGGGTAGTACTCGTGTGCGGCAGGCTCATTGATGCTGGGCACCTCCTTGGCGGCCCCATTGGCCGATCCGTTGCCGTTGAGTAGCGGCTGTTGGTTGGCTCCGTCCTTGGCGTCGCTGCTGTCGTAGGGCTTCTTCGAGCCATTGACTATCTGGGCCTCGTCCAGCTTGGTCTTCTCGCCGATGAGCGGCGAGTGCTCGAGGCCATGCCCGTTCTTGGTCAGGGGCTTGCCCAGGTTCTTCTTGTCCATGTCGAGGAGCTCCGTCTGGCGCTGAGCCTCTGCGTCGCGGGCAGCTGCATTGCTGTCGTACTTGCAGCGCTTGATGGCCACGAAGAGGATCAGGCCAACCACCACCAGGCCGATCACGGCCAGCAGGTAGTAGATGGCGTTGCTGTCGTCCTGCACTTTGGCAGTCTGAATTTCCCCTTTCGGCACGTCGGCGTCGATGGGTCCGTCAGTGACCACATCCGTCGCGTCCAGTTTGGTCTGTACTACCGGCACAATCTCATCCTCCTGCACGGGCACGGGCGCGGGCTCGCCCTCCGACCCCTCAAATATGCCGATGCCCGAGTTCTTGAAGATGTCCGGAGTGACGGGGGTCTCCATCGGTCGTTTGTCGATATCGTTATCGCTATTGTCGGCATCGTCGATGTCGTCCGAGCTGATGGGGATGCTGGCGATGGCTGGCATAATGAGAATTCCTCCACCACTGCCGGAGCCCTCGTTGTCCTCTTCCTCATCCTCCTCGTCGTTCACAATGTGCTCCACAATTGGCTCGACGGTGGTGTCGACCAGAGGTACGGCCACGGCAGGCTCCTCGGCCAGGGTCAGTTCCATGTTGGTCTCGCTCAGATCGCCGGAGCCTTCGACTTCGTCACCGGGCAGCGGCTCCTGGGGGGATCGAGCCACCTTCTTGGACTTGCCCTGGGTCTTAGTCTTTCCATCAAAGGGCAGGAAATCCTTGCCCAACTCCTCGTCCTCCTCTTCGTGCTCCCCCGAGGCAGCGGCCGGCTGGTCACCCATCATCAGCTCGTTCTCGTTGGCCTCCGGCGTGAACCATCCGCTCACCTCCTTCTGGCAGATGTCCGACTGCTTCAGCTGCAACCAGGACTTTCCCTTCACCTCCGCCGGGTGGCTGCAGACCACTGGATGCTCCATGTACACGTGGCGCTCCTGCAGCCAGTTTCGCACCTCCAGGGTCTGGCACGAGCAGTTGATGTCATTGTGGCCGATCTCCAGCTGCTGCAGGTGGTGCAGGTGGGTGATTTCGATGGGCAGGTTGGTGATGTCGTTGTGCTGCAGATTGAGAACCTGCAGGTGCTGTGGCAGCTTCACCAGCTTGGCGGAGGTCAGGCGGTTGTGCTTCAGGTTGAGCTTCTTGATGCGCTTACTCAGGTGGCCGAGCTCGTGGAGTTCGTTGTGCGACAGATCGACGGACGTGAGGTCCGGCAGCTTGTCCAGCACATGGCCGAAGCGGGTCAGCCCCAGGAAGGACAGGTCGATGGAATGCATGGGTGTCGACGAGACGATCGGCTCCTCGGCCAGCAGCAGGCCCTTGGTGCTGTTGCACTTGAGATGGTACAGCGGCTTGTGGGTGTGCTGGGACAGAGTGCAGCTGCAGTCCTCGGGACAGTGGGCGGCAGGTGTGGGCGTGGCTGCAGCGGCCACAAACAGGAGCAGGGCCATCAGGGCGGACAGAGCTGACGAGCGCTCCATTTTTGTATTTGTTTCTGTTTTGTGGGGGTGGCGCTGGGGGGTATGGCAGTGAGTCTTCCTTCCTTACTTCCTACTACTTTGTTGCTGGATATCTTATCTGAAAAAGTCGGAAAATGGTTAGAATAAATACTTTTAAGCAGAAATTATATCACGTATGTATAAATATCTCTACACCTCTCTCTACTCTCTATATGCATGGAGCAAGAGCTCTCTTGGACTAACCCAAACGGCAACACCTTTGAACGGAAACTAACGTAGCTTTGATCGCAACGATCGGAGTCGGTTATCTCTGCCCTGCCTGGCAACCTGTCTTCGTCACTGGTTGCGTCATACCCTCCTCCATTTCGAGGTCGGTCTTGTCTGCTTTCTGTTCTCTCCACTCTCCACTCTTCTGTTCTTCTGCTCTTTCTTTCAAGCCCATCGACAGTTGTTATCGATGTTAGATTCAGTTATCGCTGCCTGTTCAAACCCAGAGTATTGGACGTTATCTGCCCGAGGGGTAATTAATACTTCACTTGCTGTTTTCTATTTCAGTTTTGGCAGCTCCGTGACATCAGCAGGCACCTGACCCACCAAAGAACACACACACACACACAGTTTGTGGCAGAAATGAGTCAGTCTTCAAGTGGATTTGAATCTCTGGCTGATAGTCGATGGTTGATTAATCTGCGAGAGGTTAAGGCTGCGAGGTCTTCAGCTGCACTCGACTCAGAGCTCGTAATCAGAGCGGATCAGGGCAGAGCAGAGCAGAGCAGTGCAGCGGCTTGCTTTTAATCTCCATCTTTGAGGATTGGCCCGTGCGAGCGAGTGCCGAGACGTTTGTGCCATTTATTAGTGCCCGGACAACGCAAACTGATTGACGGTTGTCTCGTGGATGCAATTTAAGTGCAACTGGCGCTCGGTTCGCTCTGGACCCACCGCCCATCCCCTGCCTCTGCCCCTGCTCAATGATAAGCCCTGCTCATCTGTGTGTGTGTCCGTCTTTGACCGCAAAAAGTGTCGTGTCGTGGAACATGGAAAATTGAATGTGGAGCGTGGAGCGTGGAGCGTACAGCGGGAGGTAACAATAGAGATACCCCACTCAGACTGTCTAATCCTAATCATCAGATACACGGATACACCGGCAAAGATGCCTTGTCTGGGCATCTCATCTGTCTGATGGGTTCTAAATAGGAGACGGCCCCCATCTCATTTTGCAATTTGCGATTGGCAAACAAGGCAGCGAAGTGGCGAGGGGGCGAGGGGGCGGGCGCACTTGAATTATTCAACAGTTGCATCTTTCCGTTGCATTTGCATGAAATCAGAGCCGGCAGATCTGTCCCCGAAGCAGGGAGCAAGAAGGGGAGGCTGGGACTAGCTGCCGAAGGGTTGTGTTGGGTACACGTGTCTCTCCCCGGGGCTTCCTGCGCTGGCAGTTCAGTTGCCCCTTGGGTTGTTGGCTGATGAGGTTCGATGAGGCAGCAAATCCGAGCAGAGTTTTTATTCTTCATAAATATGCAGAGGCATGAAATCAGCAGCAGCTGCTGGCGTTGCTTCAGCCACTGCTGGGCAAGTAATTGAGGCATTCGCATTCGCTGCCCGCCCTGCTACGACTGCACCCTTCTCGCCCAGATGCTGCCCCCTGGATAAGGCACGAAATGCCAACTGGAAATGAGGCGTCACAGGGGCACATGCAAAAATGAATCTCCCCTGGAATCTTTTGCGCCCCAAGGTCAGTGTCATTATGCCGGCCACTCATCCGTAAACGGCTCGGACACATGAAAAGCGGTCTTCAGCGGCAAATTGTGTCATTTGTTTTTGGTTAAACAGCAACCACAGCCACCACTCACAAATGTCTTCTTCAAATGGCAACAACTTTGACTTTGGCTGTGGCTCTGCATTTGGCTTTGGTGTTGACAAATTGTCGGCACTGTGGCCTCATACGTGGAACTTTCACCGGGCCGAGAGGGGGCCGGGCATCTATCAAAATCTGTCAATTGGTGAATTGGTAATTTGCGGCTGCCACCTGCTGCTGCTGCTGCTGCTGCTGTGCCTGTTGTGGCTGCTGCTGGTGCTGTTGCTTGATGCAGCCAAATGCAATCAATGTGGTTAATTGCATTCGGCCAAAATCTGCAGCTCGATCTGCAGATGATCTCCTTCGCTATCATAATACGATCATCGCTTTGGCTTAATTGCCTTCAGTGGCAGTCCACGTCCCCGGGCATACCCTTTGATGCTGGGGCGACAGGAAACTGAAATTAGATCGGTGGCACACATGGGAAGGGAGCGAAAAGGCGGCGGACTGGGGACTGTGGACTGTGGATGGGGTTGAAAGTATTCAGCAAATGCCACTTGATGGAACAAAGAACAGAAAGAAACAAACTTATAACCATTTGCAAATTGAAAGAAATCAGCGCCAGACAACCGCTAAAATCTTAAACGATGACAAATGCTCAACCTTGACTGAGACAGTCACAGAAAGAGAAGGAGAAAGAGAAAGAGAGGGGTAAAGCGACAGAAACGCAGAACAATCTCCAGTTTGTGTGTTATTCAAGTTCCACTGAAAATATTGCCATCGCCTCCACCCCACCAACCCCCCCTCCAACTCGTTCTCTGCCAAACAAAAATCACAAAAACCAAAAACCAAAAAATATAAGCGAAAGAAAGGGAAAAATTAAATCACGTCATGCTGCGATCGCTTGCAAAATAAATTGTTATTTATGTATATATTAAATGTACGTATAAATTGTAGGTATATATTTTTAGAATTGTGCAAATCTTTTTTATACATTTCAATTCGCAAGAGCATTGTGCACCCAACAATAAAATAGAATGAGATTTTTGTTTGTTAAGTCAATTGTTTGGAAAAATAAATACGCAGGGAGTGGGGCACTCCACTAGACACAGATCGCAAGTATGTATATGTAAGTACGAGCATCTCTAGACCCACATTCTTTTTTTTTTAGTTTATTGAACCTCTGACAGAAACCATTCCAAAACTTAAAACTCAAGCAAAACCTCAAAACTTTTCTCTTTCGCACTCAAAAATATATATAAAAAAAAAAACTGATGACGCCAGACAATTAAAACATCAGGTGATTCGGCGGGTGTTTTACCCAATGAAGAAAAAACTGAGTGGATTCGCGGCAAAGGCTAATGTGGATGTGGTGACCGCATTAAGCCCACAAAACTCTCAGAAACTCTGAAAAAAAGCCGCACAAATAAACGCCAAAGCCAGAGATGACGTCTGACTTTAGCTTGTGACTCAATCTCAATCAATGGATGGATGCGGATTTGGATTTGGCCAGCACAGCTCTATGTCTTGGCCATTCACAATATTCGCCATATTCATTCAAGGCGATTGCCGAGATCATAAGAGAGAAAGAGAGAGAGAGCGAGAGACTCGTTTTGTCATAGACAAAGAAGCGGCATTGGCGGCATTGGCGGCACTTGCGGCAATCGGCAAGAGTCGGGCGGAAGGTAAATTAGCATATATTCTAATTTCTGTGCGACTCCGACAACTGAAGAAAAACTGACATACACTGCAGTTCCATATAATGACCCACATAACATATTCGTAGCGCTACCAATAAAGTGCCATTTAAGCATTTTGCCATTCCACTGTTCAATCAAGTGCAAATGAGCCTAAATTTAAGCGTAACCTGAAAAGCTGTTTCCCCTTTACATTCTCATTCCCATTGGTGTTGCTACCACGGCGAGTGTTTAATTGATTTCCACGAAAAGAGAGAAAACCAATCACCGGGGCCAACATACATAACAGCCAAAATATGAGTAGCCAGAGGTAGCCGAAAAAAAAAACACAAAATAAAAAAATACAAAAAAATAATAAAAACCGTAAAGAAGAGGGAAGAAAAGTGCAGAGCGTAAGCTAAAATTATGTGAATTATGCAAAACGTGTTGGGTAAAGCAGGAAAAGAAGTGAAGAGAAGTAGAGTCAATGTACCAGATAATAGCCAATAAAGAGACAGTGAGATCCGCCCCATAACGTATACGCCCCATAGAACGCCACGATGATCAGAACTTAATCTGGGAACTACTGCCTTCTATAGTTCCTGATACTGTAACGCAAAATTTGCACTTGAACTTGACCTACGAGCGCAGCTGTCCCTGTCTCTGTCTCTGCCTCTGTCTGCGCCTCCGTCTCTGCTGCCTCCTGCCATGATCTCTGTCTCTGTCTCCCCCTGTCTGGGCTGGCGGCCAGAAATGTTTGCTGACAGGGAAGATTCGAGTACCCGATACGAGCATTTGCATTTAAAGGCCCAAAGAATCTTCGACATTCACATGCTTTTAGCGCGAAACTCTCCCTCTCAATTGGATGCCGTCGGGGAATGCAGGCGATATTCTCAAAATAAACACACAAAAAGAGAAAGGCAGCCAGAAATACATGCTCGTATGTATATTCACATTTGTTTTTTCTACGCTGTGAGATTTCCGCTTGCAATCTATGCAAATATCACACCCACGCCTTATGATCCCCCATAGTCCCCATAGTCCAAAACTTGAGATTTTGTCATTGGCACAAAGAGATAGAGATACTTATGTATATGTAGATACAGAGACACATTTGATGATGGACTTGGTTGGCAACGAATGCTGTTGCTGATTAGTGCCAAACGCCAGTTCCCATAAATGATGTTGTCAGGCGCCAGAGAGGTGCGACAATAAACATAAGATGAGATCAGTAGGGGAAATATATACAAACATAGATATATCTTAGACCCGAAACCAAAGACTTTACCCATTAAGAGTGCTGGTGTTCGCAAACTACGCGCAAAGTTTAATGATTACCTTTTAATTAATATTATTCCGATGAATGATCTGTGAAGAGTTATCCACTTAGCAGGGAGGAAATCATTCTGCTGACTCGGCTGACACGAATGACTCGCACTGACTTTTCATTGAACTTTTCTGGCATTCAATTAGAAAAACACGTTAATTTAGTCGGAGCCGATCAATGCCTTATAATTGTTGGAGGTTTATTAACAACACGTTCTCCTCAGAACAGATCCGATCCGATCCAATCAGATCAGTGCGGATCAGAAGGGGAATTGCGCCACGTAGACGTAGCCATAATTAGCTAAGCCCGAGCTACAATGTTACGTCTCGAAGCTACCGAGATACACACAGATACTTTTGTGTGCTGTGCATATACTAACACTCGAGTTAAGTAAATATCCACACTCTCGTTAATTGGCAAAAAACGAGCGAAACTGTGCAGAACGTTTCGGGGAGAGCAGAGAACTACATACATACTATAGAGAGGAGAGTTTCAGTTTCAGTTTCGGTTTCTGTTTCAGTTTCGGCCTCTGATGATGCAATTGACAACCAAAGCTGGACTCGAACACACTCGTAGATACTTGTAGATATTCGTACAAATACGGTTTGACCAAATTAACTCATTTGAGTGGGTTACTTTTTCGGCGCTGTGGATGAAGTCAGCAGCCCGCTCGACCTTCCTATGGCAAATTGCATTCTGTTTCCGATTAAACAGAGAATGAAAACTAAATAAAAATCTAAATTCAAGTGAAAATGCAAATGCAAATTCAAATTATACAATAAATCACGGGAGGCCCTCCATAAAATATCAATTGAAATATCTACCGATTGAGCGGGCAAATCAATCTACCTACCAAATCCAGGGGGCAATTTTTTCTTGAATCCAAACAATTTTTTTGTCTAGCCGTAGAACATTTTTACAACATGCCAGAGATGCGAAGACGATGCCACGGCGGTACGGGGGCTGCAGACACTCTTGCGTGAAATTATTTGCCAATCTGCACCTGCCAAATGCATTCCGCACACCGCCAGCATTTACACTGCCCATCTCGGATTCAAGTTTAATGCGGGGAGCAAAGCTCTCCAATTAAATGCGCAAACAAGTGACGATGATCGAGCTTGAGAGGAATCTTTGGCATGAGCGGGGACTTGGCTTTGATGCAATTAAGAAAATAATTGACTGCGCAGAGGCAGGCCGTTTAATGAGACCGTATTTAAACATTTTTTTTTTAAATAATATTTTGCAACTGGGATGCCCAGAAATTCTCAATGCCCTTTTCCCCCAAAGGTGTTTCCCCCACGAAAAGTGATTCAATTTTAACTTTACCGAATGATGTCATTTTCTATACATTTCGGGTTAATATGTACTTTAAAGAACAGATGACATCACAATGACCAAAAAAAAATGCCAAAAATTGGAGCTTCAATTCGGGAGAATACGCTGACTGACCTTCCCCTGCCCCAGAGCAAAACATATGCATGTGCATACCCGCCGCATGTAGCGCAGTGTAATTATAGACAGAGACCAATTCCCATTCCCATTCACATTTCCATTGGCTGTTGCACAGAAGGCCAGATGAGCACTTGGGCCCATCAGAGAAGTTCATGCCTGGGACACTCCTCTGGACAAATTAGCCTGCGGTTGGCTGTGGTGCCGCATGGGATGCACACCGGAGATCGCCTGATCGTATAGCCGTTTTTCATGGCTTCGCTTGGCAGTTGACACGTTAAGAGCACGCACGTTTGTCGGGCCATTTAAGTGGCCTCGGCATCGGCATCTTGGCCATTGCCATTGCCACTGGCACACAGAAGATGGAGCAGCAGATAGAGCCGAGAGGGAGAGAGAGAGAGTTAGAGCGGGCCAGCGGTCGAGCGGCATTTGACAGTTATGACCACTTGTTGCTTTATTTTTAGAGCCAAAAACGGCTAGGCCAGTTAGCAGAGCCAAGCAAAAGCCGGCCGGCCGGCCGGCACCCACAGACAGCAAAAACTAAAGCTAAAGCTAAAGCAAAAGCCCGAAGACTGGACTGGTTTGCTTCGTGATGATGATGACGGCGCTGAATGAGACTCGACTCTGTCTCCAGTCGAGTTCCAGTCCCTGTCTGAATCACAGAGAGAGACCTCAGAGCAGCCGAAAAAGCAAAAGGCCTCCTCGCTCTTGATCTTCAACGAATCGAATGCCAATCTCATGTTTATACAACTCAATTCGGGCCTTGGCTTGATTTACATTTACATTTACCTACCTATAAGACATGCATACGGGCAATCCTCTCCGTTCAGGCTGTGGAGAGCAGAGCAGAGCAGAGAGCTGCAACAAACAGATAAAACGGGAAGTTAATGTCACTGATTCGAGAGTGACCGTGTGCACACGGTGGACGGAGGAGCGTTGGAAGACATTGAGAGGCACTCAGGTGACTTGCATAAAGAGTTTTCTATTTAGCTGGCAATTATTTCTTGGCTTTGATTTTAATTGCGCGTAATTAAAGTTTTAATTGTCGGGTCGACTAAATCCATTTTTAACGAACTTTGCCTCTCAGAGACAGTCGTCTGTCATTCCTGTGAATGTGCCTGTGCATGTGGATGCATGCCCGTTGCTGTTGTTGCTGTTTTGACTGCTGTTGCTGTTGGTGCTGCAGCAACTGCAGTGCCTTCCTTTTGTTATTAATTTCCATCGTCAGCTAATCTTAATTGCCTACCATCAAATGTGTGAAGTGTGAAAGTTTCGATCATGTGGCGCCCCAAAAATAAAAAGTCTCTAGAGAAAAGGAAATTAAAATCAAATGAAATGGAAACTGGCACTGGCACTGGCACTGAAACCTGCTCCAGGGTCAACAGACTTTCGTATGAAAATCTATCCATAAAGGTGAAGAATTTTATGGCATATTTTCTCTATAAATACCCATGATATCAAATAAACAGAATAATCGAAAATCTTATTAGCAGCTAAATGCCACTCAGCGTTTCTCAGGGCGTTGTGTGCCACGGCCCTTGGCGGCACAAATGACAGTTACAAAGAGCCAACAACCTGTGGCTTAAGCCGATTGCTATGCATCGAACGTGACCGAAAATATTGTCACGTAATCGGTGGACTCCCACAGAAGTGTGGCCTGTCGATTGTGTATGGAATTGAATGGATTGGACTCGAATGGTGTCGAATCGAGTCGAGTGGATTACTCATATGACAATGATTCTAATAGAGGCAGCAGCATCGACAGCCAGACGAGGTCAACGCTTCATATTCAAATGAGCTCCCCTTCCATTGATGAACCAATAGAGTCTGCTGGCAGCTGCCGAACTGTAACTGTGGCATCTGCTGCCACCTGCCATCTGCCACCGGGCAACGCAAACTCTTTGTTTTTGAACTTGAATTCTTCGCGGAAAAAACCATCTTCAAAAATGTTTACAAATTGGAAATTCCTCTCGGAACCAAACCAAGCACGTGGTAAACATTAGCTCTGGTCCAGTTTGCGTCACAGATTCCATGGAGAAGTCCCCATATACACTGATCACTCCGGGTTTTCGAATTCCCTTTTCCCCAGCTGTGACAACATTCGGAGAGCTTTTCCCACTATCTCTGGGGCGGGGTGCTTATCTTATCGCTCGTCATTTGCTAATTATAGATAGAGCCCAGCAACAACAAAAACAATCAAAAAAAGGAACAGCGACAAAAGCACTGTGCTGTGTCCCCAGTCATGTGCACTTGAGCTCTTGGATTTCTGGGACTCATTTGCGTTTTCGTTAGATCATTACTGTGCCGCTCTGGCCCAACTCTGAATGTTTGAATGCACTCCAATGCCGAGGCGTTTCCCATTTCCCTCGCCACTGTGGTGTTGCCCAATGATAATGTTTTGATTGTGGCTCGATAACAGCTTGTTTCGCCTTATCGAAACACATTTGTTGCTCATCCCCATTCCCCCACAACACACACAAAAACAATAACAAAATACCAAAACTTCTGTATCTAATGGGGACAAGGTTGACACATCCACCAAAAATGGGACCATGAAGTGCACAAAGCTCTAGGCGGCACTAGGCGGCTCGCTGATGCAGTCCCCCCCACATTGACGATGACGCCTCGTCACTCTCAAATTGCTTCGGGGCGGAGGCGAAATTGAGCTCCGCGATACAGAGGACAGTTTGAAAATCGAAACCTCAGACGGGAGGCGCCAAATCATGCAACGAAACCAAGAGGAAAAGCAAACAAGCGAGCAGTCTAAGCATTATTGAACTTGAAACTGACCAGAACTTCAAAGAAACAGCATTCGTTCATTCGTTTGCATAATTTTAAAAAAGACCGACTGACTGATAAGTCGCGACAACATTCGCTGAAATTTCATTTCATTTACTAATCAGAGAGCCAAAAATAGCTAGAAATCTCAGAAGACAATAAATATGAGTTCGAATTAGTTTACAGGGAAACAGAACTCTTCTCTGTTTGCGAGCTTTTAAATGCAATCTCTTGAATCTGTAACGTTGATAAGGAAACATCATTGACATAGAATTCCGGAAATATTGCTGAAAATAATATTCCGTCTGGTTATCGAGGTTATCGAGAAATTGGGAATTGACAAAGCTCAAAAAAGAGGCACTCGCAGATACAATATTAGATGGCACCCACTAACCATTTCTAGAGACTACAACAACTTGGCTCTGACTCCGCACAGGCAAAACTTATTGGCCATAAAACCGATGCTTGGAAATGGCATGAAACACAGTCCCAGAGTTCGCACTCGCACACCTCTGTGAATTATGTGCTGGAAATTAGCACCTGCGCCGCGAGTGGGCCTCTCGAGTTAGAGCTGTACGAGTGCGAGTATCTGTAGCTGTGGCCGGAGGAGTTGGAGAAGTGTTACGCAAGAGCTGAAGTTTATAGCTCTGGCGGAAGATGCACGATCCACCTTCTCTGTCTCTATTCTCTCTGGCTCTCTGCCCAAGTCAAAAAATGATTGATACTCTCATTAGGTGGTGACGTTGCATGACTTGAGTTTGTTTCTCTTAACTTGACATGCGGCCATTCGTATTAATAATATTTCTGGCTAAAATGATTCACACTGCCATAGAAATGGACTTGCAGTGCGCCCGACCTGTGCGGCTAATACTAAGCGGGGGGCTGACATGAGTAAACAATCGAATTCCGACCACAACACACACAAACAGGGAAAAGTGAAATTTCAGAAAGAATATCTCGCAGATAGCTATCCGTATCTGGATGATTCAACAATATCAGACGCGACGCTTGCGGTTTCCAATTGTTTTACGTAAACGATTCCGAATTGCACGAATGGCACAGAAAGCTCGCCAGGTTCGTTCGAGTGGCTCCGCTGTGGTAGTAGGTAGGTAGGTAGGTAGAGACGTACATTTATACCCGTATAGATACATACATAGGTAGGCAGACAGGGACAGGGGCCCCGAGGGTGTTGGTGTTGGGGTTGCTTTCGAACTACTCATATAAAGCTGAGATTTCACATGAATGCGTGTGTCTGTCTGTCTATCTGTCTGTCTGTCCGCTCTCGTCATACATAAGTTTGCAATCGCTGAGATCGGTTTAAGTGCCCCTGCCTGTACCCGTACCCGTACCCAGGGGTTAAAAAAGTAACCGTTTTATTACAGTCTACTCATCTTGCGGCCTTTAATTTTTTCTCTTTCGCTTTTGGCAATTATATAACTCGAAAATCTTGGGAAATAGGGTCAAGTTTGCCACAAAATGAACCGCAAATGTAAAACAAAGAGAGATAATAAAAAAAAGTAAAGTTAAAATTAAACGATTCGACGAGCAACTTGTTTCAGTTCGAAAAACCCCGAACTCTGGCCTTTTTACATCGAGGGGAATGCCCCCACACGATTCAATCCCCCAGAGTAATTCCAAGACGGGAAGCTAACCAAACCCGATTGCGTCCCCATCCCGTTCCGTCCCTTGGGGGAATATTATCTGGTTCAGCATTTCGCCGTTCTCCAGCGATAATCACGGACCCAAGCACTCACACGGACACGGAAACGGACACTAGCATTTGCGTACAATGCTTGAAATGGACCTTATCAAGGTCTGAGCTGGCCTCCGGTCAAAGAACTGCACTTACACCACACACGCATGCAAAATTGTCGAGTTCTTTGCGAGCACTTCTTGGATATTTTATTCATACAATATACATATATTTGAAAGCACTTTTCTTTGATCAGATATACGTTTGTTTGTAGTATGTTTTTGTCTAGATTCCTTTTTCACTGTTTGCTTGTCTTTTGTTCTTTGCTTGCACTTTTTGGACACTGGGAAGAGGGAGAGAGACAGAGTCCTTCCACACGCGTCCCGTCCCGAGAGTCTTTTGATTCGCACTGCCGCAAGATGGAAGAAGATCTTCTCGAGAGAAAGAGATCGCTCAGAACCGACTGAGACTGCGACTGCTACAGCGTCCGCAATCAGAATGTGTCGCAGTCCCCATTAAAAAAGAAACACAACAGACAGGGAGAAAGAGGAACATACAAAATGATCGAAAATGAAACGGAAGAAATACAACGAAAGCTGCAGAGAGCACCCCAAACGCTCTCTCAGTCTGCCAGTGTCTGACAATGAAAGCAAAAACAACCGAAATACTACAAATCAGCAGCACATCGCATCCACGGCATCAAACAGAGCGCGGCGCAAACAATTTGGACCCGTAAACTGTGGAACGAAAGTATCTTAATAGCTTGCGATTTTTGGTTTAGATTTTGGATTTGAATTTGGATTGTGTTTAGCCGAAACGGTTTTTATTCTATTCGCACTTGCACCATTTTGTGTGTGTGTTGCGTGTGTGTATGTGAGAGAGTGGGGAAACGGAAACTATATAAATTTTAATTACCTACAAACGGTGATCGTGTCGGCTGATCTAGGAAGGGGAGGGTGACGTGACTACGAGAACGGTACCGTCGGACCTCCGCTTTTTTGCGTGTGCGCGCTTTGCGTACGACACTGGAGTTGCCCGAATGAAACGACTCGGGTCGGTACCGATACCTGGCGGCGTACGGGGCGAGCGATCAATGCGACAGACCGTAGAGCAAGGCACAGAGGCACGACCGTTCGATGGAAGAGCTTTAAACCGAATAAAACGGGGTATTAAAAAACCTTTGCACAGCTAACAGCAGCAACTTCGCCGGCTGGAGCGCCAAAGCACATGGAAAGCTAATCGAGGGAGAGAAAGAGCGAACGAAGAGCTGCGAAGAGAGCAGCAAAGACTCGTCTGGTCCGGAACACGTGGATGGCATAGGCGGCGGCACACGCGCACTCACCTATAGAACGAGCACATACACACTCACTCACACACAGCTTTGTGTTTGAGTTATGAAATACATAAACTAAATAGTCGCAAAAAAGCTTATTCATTTGCCAAAATCAGAGAGCAAGCGAACTGGCGCGAGAGAGAGAGAGCGTCCGATCAAAAGCTTATCAATGAGTTGAACCTAAGCGTTATCAAGTGAGCGATTTGCTGCGCGATTTATGAACATGTGGAAATACCTTGTGCGAAACGAACTAAAATAAGTTGTTGATTTATTTTCACACAGCCGATTTTATGTGGCTCTCTTGTGTGCGGGTATTTTACATGCGTGCAATTTCCATTTCCTGCTGTAAGAATATCCAAAGCGAGCGACTGGAATTTCGTTGGTTTATCAAAGCTTTATCGTATCTTATCAATTGCCATATATGTACATATATATATGTATGAAAACTGTTTGCTGTTTGTCTGAGAGCAGTTGATAAGCTCTCTTTCGTACACACATACATTGTTTTGTGGCTCTTTGACTCTTTCCCTCAACACACCTTCTTCCATCTACTGCTCCAACTTCAGCTCCAACTCCGCAATGCGTGTGTGGGCGAGTTTTGTTTACGATTTATTGGGTTTCTGGGTCAAAGTTAATGTTCATTTCTGAATGAATCGAGTGAACTGCTGCCATAGCCGATGAACATAGAACTCCATGTCTATGTACATACATACATATGTATTTCCATACGAAAGCATGAAGCAGCTGAGTGGCAAAACTTGTGTTAATACCAATGTTAAATATTTGAATTGGATTTTATCTTATCGCTATCGGCTCTCACATTCGCCGTGTTTGTTCTCGGTGCTTCTCCGTGGTGATATCACCATGCAGTCTACATTCATACACATGTATTTGCTCACTGCCACCCATTTCCAGCTGTTCCACCCATGGAGCCCTTTGCTTGCGTAACCGTTCTGCGCCAATCGCTAATTAAACGGATTTCCAACATGCAGAACAAGTTATCTCACCAGCGAAATATTCGCACCCGAAACTGTTCTTTAATCATTCAAAATTAAATGGCAGCCGTCAGGTCGAGTATATTTGCCTTTGACCAGAGGCAAACACAACAAGGCGAAGATCGAATAACTGATACCCCTAAGCAGAGCAAAAGCTTTATTAATCGTTTGGGTTTTTAGGTAGAGTAAATACATACATATGTATATTGACAGCAGTTTTAATTCCAGTCTATAATTTCAGTAATTTTAAGATCGTTCTTTCCTCACATTTACGGCAGGAGACGCTTCTTCAGGCCATACACATACAACCCGTTTTCGTGCAAGATATCTAACATATCAACAATAAAGTATCCGTCTGTACTGTATGTTCATATATATATATTATATAGACATATACAAATTCGGGTATATTTGGCTTTTGTTTATCTCACTCGACAAGACTTTTTCACCTGCCCAGTGCCGCATTTTCGGCACTGTATACTGTAGGTATACGTCAATTGTATCGGAAGTGTGCCCAATGCTTGGGGCTGATAAAAGTTTAAACAGAGCCCAAAACTGAATGGATTTCTGTTTTGGCAGAAGCAAAATTTTAATTGCAAATTTGCCCAACCTTGCAAGAACACAACTGACGTCAGAGTGGGAATTGATAAAACTCGTATGATTGGCGGAGCAACGCACCAGAGAGAACCGAACTCGATATTTGCTTAAAGTGCGGCTGGGGGTGGGTGGGTTGAACAGAAAGCTGAAAGCTGAGCCAATAAAGAAGTTTGGGTTGTGAGGCGCCCTATAGTAAGTACTGGGATCTATTTGTTTGTATAACATTGGTGTTGATCTCGAGTGATTGTTTGCTCAACGGTCTATTTACTCAATAATTGTATTACGCCTTCAGTCGATTCACATGAGACCTTTATCAGAGGTGAAGGACTCGTCAGATTCGATTCGGCAGAAACGTCACGAACAAGCGACAAATCAAATCTGCTCTGTTCTCGATTAGATAGTCATGATATTTATTAATCACATTAACCCTCTCCACTGACAAATATATCACTTCTCACCTCTCCACAAACAATCAGCAATCGACTCGCAAATGTTATGCAATTTCCACAAAGTTTGTTTGCTTCTTAAGGGAAATCTACTGAAAGTGCGGTGCAGGCGAGGCGATAGGATTCTCCATAAGGGCGCTCCTGAAACAGAATGGAATTCCTCAAGCGCTAATTTATATGGTATACCATCTGGATCCATCGATCCAGTGACTTCGCTTTGCAGTACCTTCGCTGCGTTGACTTAATTGATTAGAGCACATGACTAATTTAGCTGGGAAGCTTTAGTGCTGACAGTTTTGACAATGCGATTAAAGTTAATTATTGGTAAATATTGATACGATATGATATCTCTACTTGCGTTACCTATTTGTCTGTTCTGTGCTTGTGTGCATTATCAATTATTTTTAATCGCGAGTGCAAAAATTTATATAATACTTAATTTTGTGGAAAAGTTCTCACTGCTGAGAGGGGAATCTACACCAATATTAAGAAGAAATTAGAGCCTGACTATAGCCTGGCATGTGACTTAGAATGTATCTAAGAAATGAATTAAGGCATAATTCCATTCAAATCCCTAAATGGCGCGAAAAATCTTATCTAAAATAATGTTGCTCATTTGCCAGCTTAGCTTGACCCAGATTATAGAGTTTTTTTGTACTGCGTCCCGGGTTTCATTTTCATTTGACTCACTGACTGAGTGACAGGCTGACTGGCTGCCAGAGTGTCCCACAATAGATTGACGATCGCCTCAGTCCCCGTCCTCTGTGAAAGGTACATACATACATACATACATATGTATGTGCATACCCAGTTAGGCAAATGAGCTGCAATGAACCGGAAATTCACAATTAACCATCAGGCCGTCCCCCGCGCCTCCACCTCCACCTCCACCAAGTTTCATAACCAACTGCATATATGCATTTGGAGTCGACTCCATCCACGGGGGTGCAGCAGTCGGATCCGTATAGGAATCCGAAACGAAATCGTATATGGAAATCGCACGTTCCGGCTCATTGGGCGCTGGACATTTATTTCAAGCCTAGGTGTAATTTTCGGATGCCTTCTTTGGCCTCAGCCGAAAGACAAAACCAAGCAAGCAACACACAAAATTAAAGTGCTGGGATATTTTAATTGTTTCTACGTGTTGTTCTATAAAGGCATGTTCAGGCTTAGCTCAAAGTTATTATATTATGATCTGGCCGGCAACGTGATCAACATTTTGACTTGGCCGTGCCTGGCGTTGGCTTTGGCTTGGACGAGTGTTCGCCGTGTTTGGGGTCGGCGCGATTACAGTTACGCTGATTGGGAGAGTTCATTGGAGCTTCGAAAGAGGAGCCATCCCTCTCCCAAACTTAATTATGATTCTGATATGAAAACTATGTACATACATATGTACATATGTATATGCACATAACTGTAGTTTCACTTTTTCGACTGAGCCCATTCCTAGAATGGAATTGTAATGGGAATGGGAACGGGACGGACTGGACGAGGAGTGTACGATGACAACGTGACTGATAGCTGTTAGCCATTGGAGAGCTGTTGTTCCATATACGATACTGGTTGGAATTAAATGGATATTAATTGTTCAAAGAATGAAATTAAGGATAGGGAAATGGGTAGCCACAGCTGGCCAGAGGCGAATCTCTTGGCCCAGCTATAACCTCTTGTCTAGCTTTCAGCTACAAGTTTGCACAGTTTAGCCCGCACTGACAGTTTGACAAATACTCTTAACCCTGATTAATTAGACAAATACTCTCTCCCAGCTTAATCATGCAGCTTCCTCGATAAGTGATAACGATTTTTCAGGCTAAAGAGCCAAAGGAGAACGCACTCGCCTGTGGCAAAAGGCGAATGCCATTCGCAGGTGGTCGCTAATCAACGTAATCAACTTGCAACAAGCCTCGTTAGGCGAGTCAGACTCGCGGCAGCTTCATGGTAATCAGGCCACCAAGTTCTAGGGGAGGGGAGGGGAGGCTCCAGGCCGGCTCCAGCGAAGGCCGCTCTAACCAAATTGGTCGCGGTGCGCCCACCTCCCCTGCTCCCTGCATCTCAATCTTGGCAAGACTAAGACAGGTTTCTTGTTGCCAGCTCTTTGTCTAGGCAGAGTTCGCCACCCGAAGGGGGGCACATGAACCTGACTTTACCGTTGTGGCAGGTTCGCGTTTAGCTGGGTCAAGGTCAGCTGGGAGGCTGATTAGAGTCTCGTCTACCCCGGTGGGGCCTAGCATAGGCAACCAGAATCCAACTGAAGGATCATTACAGTTGATGAGATCTCGATCTCCCCACACTGCCGCCAGCCAATCCCCTTGCCATTCCAGGCACGCACACCCATCAACTAGTCGCCATTCAACGCAATTCGTTGTAGCCATCGGCATCGCCACATCCCCAGATGCTCCCAGCTCCAGCTCCAGCTCCAGCGACCAGCAGCGCCCCAGTGGCGTCGATCGCTGCATTTGGTGCTGGCATTGCAAACAGCGTTCCTCCTTGATTTTTGTTTCGTTTTCGATTTTCTGCGATATTATTCATGCCCATTGCAGTGGCTTAGTCAACGGGGGTGTCGGCATATGAATCGTATCTCCCCCTGGGATTGACACTGTGTTAAAGTTCAAGTTTTCATACAGATCAGAAGACTGCTAATTACATATAGGAGCCGCCCATATGCATGAGAGTCCCTTGAAACCCCCCCTCCCTTGGAATACGCTCTGCACGCCGCCAGGCAACGACCACGTCGAACACAAAGCTGAGATTTTTCACAAGAAAATATTCATGTGAAGGCGAAAACTGCGCAGGCGCATG